CACTGGATGAGTATCAGATGTAAGTGCTATACTGGGTACTATGAGGACAATGTCCAGCATTCAAAGTCATCTGAGATCAAAATCACCTGGCATATATTTTTGGGCAGCTGGCCAGTATGGGGATCTGCACCCTTGACCTTGGTGTTATAACAAAATCAGAAATCAGAAAAAGAATTGAAGAGCAAATCTAAAGGCAAGACCTACAATTTATGTCTCTTCCAAAATCTCTGAGTTATTTTCCTAGAGTTATTGGTGCAGAAATTAATGTATTAGCTACAGGCAAACATTCATTTTCTGTTATCTTAATGATTTGCAGAACAGCAAGAACACAAGGGAATGACCAAGAGCAGTAGCACTGATGAATCATGATGATATTAATGCATACTTTGCAAACCAATGGATAATTCTGCAAATATCTTATCAGCAATATGGGAACTTTGCCAATCATGATCAAAACCAGCTCCATCCAATATTATGGGACAAGAGCTATGATCGTCACTTACGTTCTTCTAGTCTCCTACTCCTCATTAAGTAAATGGGAATGATTCAGCCAACAAAATTCATGACAACAAGGTGCAAGATGGTGCTGGCGAAGAGAAAATCAGCAAAGGCTCGCTCCGGGGAGATGCCTTGGAAATCTGCTTTGTTCTGTGGGTTGATCTGTATTCTCAGGCAAACTGTGCAAGAAGCAAAACACAACAATGATTATCTAGAAGTAAAAAACACAAAACACAAAGTTGATTATCCAGAAGTATAAAACAAATATGACTGCTAATGAACACACATATTCTATGACCGAACAATTCTACTCGAACAGAAGTGAATGCATATGTGCATCAAAAGGCATGTACAGGACTCGACAGTTAGCTCAGTTGGTTAGAGGGCAGTATTGTAACACCAAGGTCAAGGGTTCAGATCCCTGTACCAACAGCCACCAAAAAATAAAGTCATGTACAGTAATGATACCCATGATAGCCCAAACTGGAAACAATCTAAAGGCCTACCAACAGTAAAATGGATAAATTATGGCATATGCAAACAATAGAATTCTATACACCAATTAAATAAATAAATAAAAATACTATACAACAATGACAAAGAACTTCTGCTATACACAAAATGGATGAATTCCATAAATAAGTTGGCAGCACAATCCAGACATTAAAAGTACATGTTGTATGAGTCTACATATAGAAAGCTTAAAACTAGGTGAAACCAATCCGTGGTAATGCAAGTTAGGATAGTGGATTTTATCTTTCACGGGGGGAGAAGTGACTGAGAAGATCCAAGGAGGATTCTATGGCGCTGGTAATGTTCTATATCTTGATCTGGGTGGTGGTTAGATGGGTAAATTTAAAAATTCATCAAGTCATACACTTAAGTTTTGTGCTCTTAACTGTTATAGGAAAGTTAAAGGGGCTGCCAGTTGGCTCGGTTGGTTAGAGCACGGTGTTATAACACCGAGGTCAAAGGGTTCAGATCCCCCATACTGGCCAGCCACCAAAACAAACAAAAAAAAAA